TCTAAAAGTTGGACAAAATTTGGTCAACTCTTCCATGGTTGGCTACCTAATATGACAAATGGGGTTTAGAGCCAATCTAACTTTTCAAGTATTGGAAGAAAATGTTGTGATCAACAAAAATATCTTAAAGGAGAAACCAAAGGCTAATTAAAAGTCTAGGATTATCATCCTAATCAAATTTCCTCAATAATCCTCAATTTGCCAAAAAAAAAAAAGTAGCCGTTGGAAAAATCTTTCTGAAGCTACGCCAATTTCCCTCAATACAAATAGCGTGCGTATCTTTACCTTTTCAAAAGCTAACTCACAACAATCCTTTTTAAGATTTTCTTCCTCCGAAAAGATTGAAAAAAAATCTATTAGGGTGAGATTTTGATCCGTCTCTAAATTTTGAATCATGATTTCTGATCGTTGTGCAGCTTGCAAGTATCTGAGAAGAAGATGTCCTTCCGATTGCATCTTCTCTTCGTATTTTCCTCCAAATAATCCTCAAAGATTTGCTTCTGTTCATAGGATCTATGGTGCCAGCAATGTTTCCAAAATGCTCCAGGTACATAATCCTACTCTAGAAACATAATAAATGAGAATATTTCTCAAACTCGTAAGATTTCTTCTTTATTGTGTTATAATGGATTCAAGTGCGTGGCAACATAAATTGTCGCACTTGGATTTGTTTTTTAGAGAGTACGAATATTTTCCTCTTACGATTCATCAGCAACTACCAAACCATCTGAGAGCTGAAGCAGCAGATGCTTTGTGCTATGAAGCTGAATGTAGAATACAAGATTCAGTTTGCGGTTGTGTCAAGACTATTTTTCAACTGCATCAAGAAATTTACAACGCAGAATGCCAGTTAGCTAAAACACGAGCTGAGATCGCCCTCACCAATTCTCGCGGAGGAGGAGGACAAAAAAATCAAGTGAATCAAATGCAAGAAGTTCAGTCCAACTTATATTTCTTTCCGGACCAAACCCATGTTGAGGCAACCCAATTTGGTTCTTCCTCCAAAGCTCCTTGGTTTAGTTGATTCTTTACTGTTTGCAAAAGAATAAAAGGGTTAACAAAATATACATTCCAATGCAAATTAGCTACAATCTGCATTGTATCGTACTGGATGTTGTAAGATTAGTTCAGATTCATGAATAACCAAATACATTGCCTCTCCGCTGCAATGGCAATTCGACCACCATTGCCTCGTCTCCATCAAAGATTCGGAGGATCCCAAAACCCTAACTTCCCCATTGATCTCTAAGACCATAACATCCCAACCAAGAACGGAAATTACAGTTCAATTACAGTTCAATCCCCATAAAAAATCTCGTTCTTCTTTGGCTTTAAAAGAAGCCTATTGCCTAACGATACTTACCGGTTTGTTGCTCTACTCAAGGTCAATCATCTCCATGCTCTTCATTGGCCGCCTTGGCGAGCTCGCCTTAGCGGGCAAGTCCCCCGCCATAGGCTTCGCCAACATCATCGGTTACTCCATCCTCCTTGGCCTCGCCATGGGAATGGTACCCATCTGCGGCCAAGATTTTGGCGCCAAAAAACACACTATGCTCGGCCTCTCTTTGCAGAGGACGGTCCTCCTCCGACTATTTACATCCTCACCAATTTCTCTTCTCTGGCTGAACATGAAGAAAATCCTTCTCATCTGTGGCCAGGACGAAGCGATGGCTAAGCTCCCTCTGTTCTCTCCCTGATCTTCTCGCTCAATCTTTTCTCCACCCTCTGAGAATTTACCTCAGAAGTCAATCCATCACTCTGCCTCTCACCTTGTGTGCAGCTCTTGCGATCATATCCTCTACATTCCCATCAACTATTTTCTCGTTTCGTACTTCGATATGGGAATCAAAGGTGTTGCTCTTAGTGAGGTGTGGTCTAATTACAACCTCGTGGCTTCCCTGATCATAACATCATCGTCTCTGGGGTCCACAAAAAAACCTGGGGAGGGATTTCAGTGAAGTGTTTCTGAGAATTGTGGTAGCATGAGATCATGATCTTGCTTTGTGGATTGTTAATAAATCTGAGAGCTACCGTTGATTCAATGGGAGTTTTAATTCAAACCACCGCTTTAATCTACATATTTCATTCTTCCTTAAGCTTCAGTGTGTCCACGAGAGTCTGCAATGAAATCGGCGGGAACAACCCGAAAAGGGAGTGGTGTCTCAAATAACAGGTTTTAATCCTATGATTCAAAGATGTTGCCACTGAATTCGGGGTTGAGGGCTTGTTGATCACCTCCCTGCTGCTGCACAAAGCTACAATATAATTAGTATCATGATCGAATCCTTTGTGTGTTCATGCGCACGCATGTGTGTGCTTAAAATATGAAATGAGTATGCATGCCTGGCTCCAAGATTGTTCAAGAGGTGCGTTTTCTTCAACATGGTATGGGCCAGAAGAGTTAGAATTTGGAACCTGGTCCGCAGAAGGGTCGGAAACTTTGTTTACAGCAGTGTCCAGGCCTTGGTCCGCAGCAGTGGGGTTTATTTGATTCGGAGTTGCGTCCGGCACTTGAACTGGATAAACATAAACAATCTTCCTTGATTTCAGCTTTGCTTGGCTTGTCCTCCTCGACCCCGAATTCAGAGGCAACGTCTTTGAATCAGAGGACTAAAACCTGTTACTTGAGACACCACTCCCTTTTCGGGTTGCTGGCGCCGATGTCATTGCCGACTCCCGTGGAAACACTGAAGCTTAAGGAAGAAGGAAATATGCAGATTAAAGCGGCGGTTTGATTTAAAACTCCCATTGAAGCAACGGTGGCTCTCAGATTTATTAACAATCCACAAGGCAAGATCATGATCTCATACCACCACCATTCTAAACACACAGAAATGTAGCTGGGCACTACTAAATTTAGAAGCGTCCTCCTTTCTCTGAAACACTCCATTGACATCCCTCCCCAGGTTTTTCTGTAGACCCCAGAGAAGATGATGTATAAGATCAGGAAAGCTACGAGTTTGAAGTTAGATCAAACCCCACTAAAAACAACACCTTTGATTGCCAAATCAAGGTGCGAAACGAGAAAATTGTTTATGGGAATGTAGGGGATAGGCAGAGTGATGGATTGACTTCTGAGGTAAATTCTCAAAGGGTGGAGAAAAGATTGAGTGAGAAGATCAGGGAGAGAATACAACTGAGCTTCGGCAGCGATCGTTTCATACTGGCCGCAGATGAGGATGATTTTCTTCATGTTCAGCCAGAGAAGAGAAATGGGTAAGGATGTAAATAGTAAGAGGAGGACTGTCCTCTGCAAAGAGAGGCCGAGCAGAGTGTGTTTTCTGGCGCCAAAAGCTTGGCCGCAGATGAGTTGCATTCCCATGGCGAGGCCGGAGAGTATGGAGTAACCGGTTATGTTGGCGTAGCCAATGGCAAGGGACCTGCCCGCTAAGGCGAGCTCGCCATGGCGGCCGAGGAAGAGCATGAAGATGACTGACCTTGAGTAAAGCAACAGGCCCGGTAAGTATCATTGGGAAAGCTACGACAGCTATGGAATTGGCTTCTTTCAAAGCCAATGAAAAATGGGATTCTTTGTGGGGATTGAACTGTAACTTCGGTACTTGTTCTGGTTGGGATGTTATGGTTTTGGAGATCAATGGGGAAGTTAGGGTTTTGGGGTCCTCCGAGTCTTTGATGGAGATAAGGCGATGATGGTCTGAACTGCCATTGCAGCGGAGAGGACAAAATTTGATGTTGGATAGTAGTTAATGTAATGGATAGCTCCAAAGAAAACGTCATTGTTCATCCGCGTATGCAACACCAAACGGAGAAACTTACTTACCATATCCGAAATGGTAAAAACTCTGATGTTTTAACTTTGGTTTTTCCTCTTATGATTCGTCAGCAAACCATATGAGAGCTGACGCAACAGAGACTTTGTGGTATGAAGCTGAACGTAGTATATAAGATTACGTGCACGCTTGTGTTAAGATTAATTTCCAATTGCATCAAGAAATTCACAACGCAAACTGCCTATTAACTAAAACACGAGCTGAGGCCGCCTTCATCAACTCTGGCGGAGAAGGTGGAGGAGGACAAGTAAATCAAGTGCATCAAATGCAAGAAGTTCAGTCCTTGGTTTATTTGATTCCTTATTGTTTGCAAAAGAATAAAAAGGTTACCAAAATATTGATCTTCATGTCGATTAAGTCCAATGCAAATTAGCTACAAATTGCATTGTATCGTTTTCCATTTTGTGTAGTGGACGTTGTAAGATTAGTTCGGATGCATGAATAACCAAATTCACTACCTCGAAACGTACTTTTATTACAAGAGGATACTTTGAATTACTCTAATTTAGATGGAGAGGGATTCGAAGTTGATTAAAAGAGGATGAACACATTGCTGTAGTGAACTGATATAACTTACATTTGCATATATTACAGAGTAACATAAAGTATATGATGTCAAAATTGGCTGATACCAACGGACCGAAGTTCCATTTTGGTTAAAGTGTTATCAATTGTTACAATTCGACATTAGTTTATTAATTGTCGCAATTTAATTAGCACGCGATATGCATATGCCTGCTGTTAAGATACTCCAATTTAGCCTCATGTATATTACTCCCGACAATTAAATTACAATGAGTCAAATCACAACCAAATTTTTTTTTTTTTTTAAAAAAGGATAACTGGTATGGTTATTTACTCATTTTGGGTCCGAAAAAGTTAGGAAAAATTTCAAACAGACTTATCAGTTCGGAGTTTCGAAATCGAAACCTCCCAACTTAATCAATCGAAGCCCAAAGGCCCAAAAGTGAAATAATATCATTTTTGCGATAATTTGAATCTGCAGAGATAATTTGGAATCCCGATATAACTCAAGTGGATTGTAAAATATCATTTTTGCCCCTGATATTAAATAGTTGTGCATGTAAGTGTGAAAGGGCCACGTTTACAAATAATATAAAGTACAGGGCCCTTTTCACAAATATCAAAAACGTTGTTTTCTTTTTCTCTACTCTTTATTTATTTATTCCACTCACGAGGGCTCTCCGTTCGGTCAAATCGAAGAAAGTATCACCTACTTCCTTCACGTCGCTCGCTTGCTACGGTTCGAGTCTGAAGCTCCATTGCTTCCGAAGAGAAGGTACGAAGCTCTCTGAAACCTGAATCATAATTGTACGTGTCTCAATTTTCCGTTTGGTTCCCGAGAAAATTCGTAAAGAAACCAAAATCTTTTTTCTGCAGTTCAATTTGTTATCTTTCGTGCCGTTTCTGGAAAATAAATGGAGATCTGACTTATAGGGATTCTGTAGTTGTAGATCTGATTGCTCTGCGACTTAGGTGTTTGTATTTTTTGTTTCTTTGCTTAATTTATTGAAATTTGTGGATTTTTTAGGGTTAATTATCCAATTGGTTATCTTTTTTTGGTTATTAATTTGGATTTGTGTGTTCTTACATAATTTTCTTTGGTTAATTTTGAGACCGAGATCTTGTTTAGTGCAATTCTTAGCTGAATTTTTTTTTTCTTTAGCTAAATTAGGTTACGCATAGCTAAAGTACACAGGGAATATCAGTGAATTTGTTTGTAGGCATTGATTATTTATTTATTTATTATTATTTGTGATATTTCTTGTGATTTGGTATAGCGGTTCTTGTATAAGATATGACTAGTGCTTTGTAATTAAAAAAAAAAAATTATTTGTGATATTTCTTGTGATTTGGAACTTGGTGAATGTAATTGTGTATTTAGCGGTTCCTGTATAAGATATAACCAGTGCTTTGTAATTTTTTTTAAAAATTATTTGTGATATTTCTTGTGATTTGGAACTTGGTGAATGTAATTGTGAATTTAGCGGTTCTTGTATAAGATATGACCAGTGCTTTGTAATTTTTTTTTTTATTATTTGTGATATTTCTTGTGATTTGGAACTTGGTGAATGTAATTGTGAATTTAGCGGTTTTTGTATAAGATATGACCAGTGCTTTGTAATCTTTTCGTATGAACGTAACATTTTTATATCTTACATTTACGCACCACGTTCTTTTTCACAATTGAAAGAATGTTTGGTGTTGAGTGGTGTTCTTTGAAATTATGTGCCCTTTGTTTATGTGATGTGAAATTTAGTAATGTTGGGTTTTCTTGTTCATTATTATCATATGCATATTCTTTTCTTTTCTTTTTTTTAACAGAATATGCATATTCTTTGATAGACTGGTCTTTTGCTCCACTGCATCACGTAAGGTGTGAAAGATTGTTTTCATGATTGATAACAATTTATTTTCATTTATGCCAGGAAATGAAGCCGATTTTTTGTGGGAATTTTGAATATGATGCTCGACAGAATGAATTGGAGCGGCTGTTTGGTAGATATGGGAAAGTTGATAGGGTCGATATGAAGTCTGGTGAGTTCACCTTTTAGTTCTCTGTCTCTGTATTGTGCTTATTTCACTTGTGGCACCGACATTTAATCCTCTCCCTCACGTGATGCATCTGTTCTCCTCAAACATATTCAAAACATCCTCTACTTCACATGGCAAATCACTATGAAGCTGGATAGTCAGCTCAGATCTTGTATGAGATTTCATCCTCTAGTTTTGATCCTGAAAGAGTAATAAGTCATTTTATTTCATTTGAACTAATGAATTGAAACCCAAAATTAGGACTGATTTCTAAGCTCACATGGGCGAACAATATATATCTGTTTCAAAATTTTACCACACTTACTGATTAGATTTGTGGTAAGATTTGAGGTGTGAAAGTGATTTTAGTGATTTTGGTAAATAAATTATTTCTAATTCTTTTGGGATCAAAATTAAAGGATGAATTATAGTCAGCATTATTGACCAAAAAAAAAAAAAATCTAATATGGCATCTTCAAAATTTTCAATTTACATGTTCTAGATTCCGCAATCTTGCATTCCTATTTCATCCAGCTTTGAGTTGGTTATTTAAAGGCAACTTTGTCTAGATTTATCATGCATTGAGGTTCTTGGTTTACTAATTTGATTTTGGAGGTTTGAGGGATGGACATCACTATAATTTGTTACTTTGTTCAAATTATTGTCTCTGTGAGGGGTCTGTTGAAGACAAGAAAACACTGGATTAAAATTGTGCATGCATGTAATCTGCAGTGAAATAAACTTATAGTAACAATCATATATCCCCCTGCGAGAATCAAAACTGGGTCTTACAGCGGAAAGGAAATTCAACCACGGCATGTCTGCATCTGTAACTGTGGCACCTCGGATGTGCTGTTTCATCAGCAGTTTGACCGAATAATCATCTGGCTACATTTCTCAGTGGCAGCAGTCTTCCTTGTTGAGTTACTGTGGGGGTTCCGGATACGTTTAAGAAAGAGCATGTATTTTTTGGCACATAAACCCCCATACTCAACATTTTCTTTGACGCAGGATTATCTTGGGATAACCATAATCCTCCAGGCTAGTGGATGGGCTCTTCAGAATTCTGTTTCTTACTTGTGATGAGCTTCCTCTTCTTGTTTTCAAGAAGAGTCACTCTGATCGGCAATTGCACTACCGCCATCCCACATTTTCCACAGTCACAATTGCCTTTCATTCCTCATGACCTTCGCCCAGCCCTCAATCACAATTGAAACACTGCCATCCCATGGCAGGGGCAGCCGATTAGATGGAGAAGGCACTCTCTTTACATTGACCCACCATGAGACATCCATTTTTGGATTCTTGTCCCTTGACATCACTTAGTTCATATTGCAAGGTCTGTTACTATTTTTATTGGTCCCTTAGTTTATAGATTTCCCGTAGGTTGCCTCACTGTTTAATTAGGATAGTATTTAGGTGGTTTGTATATTGTCGAAAGGAGCAATGCCGTCTCTTATTGAAGAATCCTTGTACGGGGGAATTCTTACCTTTGTTTGGCAAAAATACATGGCATTTGTTGTCAGTTCAGAATGTTGTACTTACTTCTTTACAGGGTTTGCTTTCATCTATATGGAGGATGAGAGAGATGCTGAATATGCCATTAGGGGACTTGACCGAAAAGAATTTGGTCGAAAAGGACGCAGGCTTCGTGTTGAATGGACGAAGGTAGCAAATGTAGGCCATTTTTATCACTATTTAATTTTGTCACTGTTTGTCAGTTGTTTTTTCAAGTTTGTCCTGGTTTTAGCACTTTTATGTTTTGTATTGTAGCAAGAACGTGGTGCTAGAAGACCTGGTGCATCAAGAAGATCTTCGACTAATACAAGACCTTCAAAGACCTTGTTTGTTATAAATTTTGATCCTTATCACACAAGGACCAAAGATTTGGAGAGGCATTTTGATTCATATGGGAAAATCGTCAGCGTAAGGATCAGAAGAAATTTTGCATTTGTTCAGTATGAGTCACAAGAGGATGCTACCAGGGCATTGGAAGCTACAAACATGAGGTGGATATGTCGTTCTCTCTCTCTCTCTCTCTCTCTCTCTCTCTACTATATCGTTGTTCATTCTTCTGTATATTTGTCCATCTATTGGCTGATGATATGTGTTTTTGCAGCAAGCTGATGGATCGAGTTATATCGGTGGAATATGCAGTTCGTGATGACGATGAAAGAGGAGATGGATTTAGCCCTGACCGGAGAAGTCGTGATAGGTCTCCAGACAGAGGCCGTGATAGAAGAAGGTCCCCAAGCCCCTACAAAAGAGAGAGAGGTAGCCCTGATTATGGCCGAGGCCCTAGCCCTGGTCCCTACAGGAGAGAAAGGGGTAGTCCTGATTATGGACGTGCAGCAAGTCCTTATAGAAGGGAGAGAGTTAGTTCTGACTATGGCCGTGGGCGCAGCCCAAGTCCATATAGGAGGGACAGGTCTGATCATGGCCGCGTCTCCAGTCGTAGTCCTAGAAAAGAGAGGGTGAGTGCTGACCGTGTTCATGATCGTACCCGTAGTCCTTATGGAAGAGAGAGGCCTGGGGATGACAATGGCCATGGTCCCAGTCGTAGCTCATATAAGAGAGATAGGGGTAGTCCTGAAAATGGTCCCAGACGTAGTCCATATAAGAGAGAACGGGATAGTCCAAGGGATAGTCCTGAAAATGGCCGTCTCCCAAGCAGTAGTCCATATAAGAGAGAGAGGGTCAGTCCTGAAAATGGTGGTGGCCCCAGCGGTAGTCCTTATGAAACAGAGAGGGCCAGCCCGGAAAATGGTCGTGTTGCAAGCCTAAATTCTGCGCCTGAAGCTAGGGATAGCCCCAACTATGGCGGGCCTGAAAGCCCCATGAATGAGAGATATAGCAGGTTTGAATTTCAACCCCACTAATCTGGATTATTAACCTTGTTAACCATCTACTCTTAACTTCTGTTGTTTAACACACGGTCTTTTGTTAACTGCAGCCGTTCACCGCAAGCTGAGGAGGAATGATATTGAAACTTGATCAGTAGGTTGTATCGGTGTCTGCTCGTGAGATGCTATTCAGTTTGTTGTTCCCCTGAAAACCACCGCGTAATCAAATCGTAATGCAACTTTGTAGTTTCTTGTAGACTTGTTCTTATTTGTAGCTTTTAGATTCTTTCTGCTCAAAACGTAATGATGGAACTTATTATTTTGTTATTGAAGGAGAGTTGTAACACAGATTTAGCCGTTTGATATTTCGTGTTATTTTCAATTTCTTGATTGATCCGTATTTGAAGCAGGTTATTGTGTATATATTTTTGTCGATTTGGTTGATTTCGAGACTTGGGAGCAGCCTCTCCATAAATGGGGGTAAGGATAGCCGACATTCACCTCTCTCAGACCCTGCGTAAAGCGGGAGCCTTGTGCACTGGGTACGGTTGATTTATGTCTACTTCTCGGCCAGCCTTGTGGGAACCTGGTTTTTAGGGTTTGTACTGTTTGTGTTTTAGATATGGTGGGGATATGAGGTATAAGGGAAAGGAGGAAGAAGAATTAATCAAATCAAAATTAAGAAAGTAAAAGCAACTTGAGATAGGTTTTGATTTTTAGCTTTCGTTTTGTATAACTTTCTTTGTTGATATCTCTAGATATCTTAGTCACTCTTCTATGTCCTTCATCTCTTTCATATATCTTCTCTATTAATATATACACACACACATATACACACATACTAGCCTTCATGCACGTGCTCGCAGCAAACATTTTTTGAATCACGACGTGTTATGTGTGATTTACACGTTTTAAATGTATTTATATACGTAAATTGATAAAAGAAAAGTTAAATATTTGAAATAAATGAGTAATATTAGATTATGCCATAAGAAACCTCTCATAAGTCAATTAAAGTAGCTGAATCCACGTAATAAAATCGGTATCTATTGAAGTTATATTAAGAATAGAGAAAATAATATTTAATAAACAACTGATTGAATCACATTATTGCTATCCCATTGTGAGGTACTAGTTATTAAAAAAAAAAAAAGTTGTACAAAAAAATTTAATTATTAAAAAATACTGTTAAAATGATGAAAATTCCCTTGGCACATTTGATGCATTATTTTGAGTTGTTTTTGAAGTTTTTTGTTTGAGGGGCATTTTTGGTGAAGCTTGTGACACCAAAAAACACTATTCATTGGGCCATTGGCTTTATATATAAGGGAATTTTAACGAAAAACTTTTAGTACTGTTCACTTTAATGAAAAACTACATTTTTACACTAAAAAGTCAATTATGGTACTATTCACTTTACCCTTTATTTTGTCCTTATCGTTAAAACTCAAAGTTTTCAAGTCATTTTCATTAGTTTTCCTTATATATAACTAGTCTTCATGCACGTTTTAAATGTATTTATATGCGTAAATTGACAAAAGGAAAATCAAATATTTGAAGTAAATGAATAATCTTAGATCATGCTAGAAGAAACCTCTCATAAAATAATTAAAGCAGTTGAATTCACATAATAAAATCGGTCTCTATAAAATTTACTTCAAGAATAGAGAAAATAATATTTAATAAGCAATTGATTAAATCACATTATTGTTAGCTCATTGTGAAGCTAAGCTCATCCTCTCTTCCTTAGTGTAGATAATATTGTTTGTCAAAAAAAAAAAATCGTTCGACAACTAATTTAATCACATTATTATCCGTGTGCGAAAGACTTTTTTTTTATAACCGGCATTACACGTCACTTAAGATGTTTTTAACGTGTTTAAAAATAGAGAAAATAATATTTAATAAACAACTGATTGAATCATATTATTGTTAGCTCATTGTGAGGCTAAGCCCACCCCCTCTCTCTTAGTGTAGATAATATTGTTTGTTAAAAAAAACAATCATTTGACAACTAATTTAATCACATTATTATCCGCGTGCGAAAGATATTTTTTATAACCGGCATTACACGCTTCGTAAGATGTTTTGAATGTGTTTAAAAATAGAAAAATTGAATCACATTATTGGTAGCCTATTGTGAGGTACTAATTTAAAACAAAAACAAAAAGCACAAAAAAAATAATTATTAAAAAATGCACTGTTAAAATGACGAAAATGCCCCTGCCTTATTTGATGCATTATTTTGAGATGCCTTTGAAGTTTTTGGTCTTGGGGCATTTTTATCCAAATATTTTTGTTGAAGTTTGGTAACACCAAAAGCACTATTCACCTTTTGTGTTGGCTTTATATATAAGAAGATATGAAAATTAATTTCATTCATGGATAAGTCTAAGTGATTTAATATTATATATTAACCAATTATACAAGTGTGTATATTTTTCCAAATCAAAATTAGGTACCGATGACACTTTACTACAGTGACATAAAGCATTAATGTTTACTCACTTTGGTGGGGATTTGTTTTCACCTATCTCCTTTCCGTTAACATTTAACAATTTCATCCACGCGCTATCGGTTGTTTTAAAACAAAAAAAAAAAAAACCTAAATTAGGCCTCCGGGCATAAACGCCGTATCAGACTTGTTAGTTATTGGGAGACTGGACGTGGATGTCTTTAATCTTCTTTTTTTTCAACACAAGGGATAGTAATTAACACTTAAAAGAACGTCATCATTCACTCCTTATATTTCTTTGAACCATAAGATGAGATGTGCATGATGATTTTTTTTAGTGTCAATAAAACTCCGTCTCTAAAATGCTTCGGGCCTAAATTTTTCCTATTATAGCACCATAGGCTTCTTAAAAGCAATGCAGGATGATCCAAAAATGTTCCGGCCGGTAGAACTCTATTCTAATTTCTAACTAAGTTTTGTTGTCAATACAAAAAATCTAACCGGAGAGGGCATAACTATGTTTTTAACTCCATTAGTATTTTTTTCTTGTACTTTCCTACTTTTCAGCTTAAAAATTCAATTAAAAAATAACTACAGGACGCAATAAATGGTAAGATTGCTTGAAAATGTCTTGTAATGTTTTTTGTCGCAAAAGATTTATTTTTTTTTTTTACCAGAAACAATTGAGTGGTATTTTCTTTATCATCACAAACAAATACATAGGTGCAAATCCGGTTCATAGCTCCAATGACCAAGAAATTGATCTGGAGTGAATTTGTATGAACAAACAAGAAGTAAACCCCCTAGATGGGTACCACATGCACAAGACTAGCACCCCCTACGTGCAAAAAAAATTCAAGCCTAGCATATGGACAACACAAATTGGGTGATGTGGAGCACGTGTGGTCGTTGAGCTTTACACGAGAGGCAACATGATCTGATACCATGAAGAAGATTGGGGTTCTATAAAATAATTGGCAATACGAGAAGTAACTCAAGTACTTATAAGCACATGCAAGATTCCCCATTTAACCAAATATAGGATTCATAATCTTAACATACTTGTGCCATTGCTGCCAAGGTTTTAAAAAACGCTAGGCACTAGTCGAACGGCGGACTAGGCATATTTAAGTAAACTTATTATATAACGTACAAATAAGTGTATTTATACTTAAAAATACATAATTGCATCAGGATACAAAAATTGAAAAATAGAATGACATATAGATTAGAAAATATTATAACATATAGAAAGCATGGGGAACCAAAATATAATGAGTGTTCATCCAAGCATTCAACAAGTCTCTTACAAGTTATAAAAAAATGCAAAATGAAAGTTATTTATTTTTTTATGTCTAAGTGAGAGTCGCGACTTAAATGGGTGTCTAGGCAACTAAGGCAAGTATAGGAGAGCACCTAGATTGGCTAAGTGGGCATTTAAGCAGGTCTAAGCTTCAAACATCTAAAGATAATCGGAACGATGGTCATCCACTTAACATCTAGGCAACGCTAGCGAAAATTTTTAGAACAACGATTGTTGCTCAAGTGGGATCCGCATCATCACGAGTCACAAACTTCATTTGATTTCCGAAGTTCTTAAAAAAACATAAAATCAATTCTTGTATCGCAATAAGAAATGGAATTGGAATCTCATTAGTTAACTTTCTAGTTTTATTCTTACATATCTTGTTAAATTTGTTCTCATCCTTGTAGATAAAGATTTGTCCAAATCATCGAATCAATCAGTCAAACACGTCGAAGCAAATGACTCTCCCATTTTCTGACGCGGAAAACATTCGGATAAGTTAAAATATTTTATACATGGAGTGCTGACACGTATAAATTAATTTCCACTCTAAACACTTTGCATATTATGTGTGAACACCAATCAAGCAAATTAATCCCTCGCTGACTCAATATTTCACACCCTATTCTCTGTCTCTTCCCACATTACCAACCAAATGGGAAAATTGCTTTCGGTGAAACAGACAATATGCAACAAAGTGGCATCAAAAATGGATTTTAGGGAGAAGCCAAAGTCAAAAAAGGAATTTTAAGATGCTTCTCTTCAAAGTGCTTTTTCTTAGTTCAAACCAAATATTATAGAGGTTGATTAGTTTGAACTGATGGGAATAGGGAACATTTGAGACTGAAACTTTAAGAAACTTATATCTAGACAACATCCCTAATTCATTGACCAATCAATGCTAACACATAAAATTAGATCCTAACAAATCTCGATGTGTACAAAACTCATAGGATTTGGATCCTTAATTACTTTGCTAGAATATGAACGTATGTTTGGATTGTGATGATACGACTCATGGCCCCTCATTAAGCTTATCATCTATTTTGGATCGACTAAGACATATATTTATCCCTTTCGACTAAGACATTTTGGTTAAGCCAGCGGTTTACACGAGAGCTTATTTGTCATCACACTATTGGTCCAAAATAGCCAAATTAACTAGATTAATTTCTTTAACTTTCTTCTCCTTTGTTTTGTAGTTGTTTTTCCTTTTTTTGTTTGAATATGTTTTGTAGTTGTTTTTCCTTTTTGAAAAGAAATTACAAGAAACAAGACTGGGATGCAACAACCTTCTTGATTTTTCTTTTTATCATGTAATGTTGCTTGATAATCATAACCGTCTACTCTCTACACTACCATTTAAGTTCAATCTAAACAAAAAAAAGCAAAACCAACAAAACCGGAAAATCGTTAAAATTGTTCAATTAATTTTGTCTCAATTTAGTGTTAAAGTTATAAACATGATTCGTTTATTTATTGAATAACCGTTAGATGACTTAATAATTTTATAAATTAATCTGCATAAATGGTTATTAAAAGTTAATCTAGAAAATAAACAGTTTAAATTATTATGCAACGTAAAAAAAAATTAGAAGAGTCGAGAAGGCCGAAATAAGATGCTTTCATTCCTCAAGAAGATTGACGG